CTCGGCCTCCCAAAGTGCTGGGATTACAGGCTTGAGCCACCGCGCCCGGCCTTTTTTTTTTATTTTGAGACAGGGTCTTGCTCTGTCACCCAGGCTGGAGTGCTGTGGCGCAGTCACAGCTCACAGCAGCCTCAACCTCCTGGGCTCAAGTGATCTCCCACCTTGGCATCCTAAGGAGCTAGGACTAAAGGTGTGTACCACCATGCCCAGCTAATTAACTTTTTTTTTTTTTTTTTGTAGAGACAGAGTTCTCACTATATTGCCCAGGCTGGTCTTGAACTCCTGGGCTCAAGTGATCCTCCCACCTTGGCCTCCCAAAGTGCTGGGATTATAGGCATGAGCCACCATGCCCAGCTAGTTTTTCTGTTTCTGTGTTTTTTGTTGTTGTTGTTGTTGTTGGGGCACTTTTTATTGAAGAAGCATTCCTATGGACACTTAAAGAGAAGTTATTTATAGAAGTAGAATTTCTATTCAAGTAAAAGGAATGCATTGAGAAAGTAATGTCTTGATAATCTGTTTGATTTGTAGTTTGTTTAATTGTATGAGATTTATGAGTAATTTACTAGCAGAAGTAGAGCATTCTCTCACATAAGATTTTAGATCTTCTCCCATGAGAATAATTTCTCCAAAGGGTCACACTTGTCTGAATTTCTCTGACAATCTTTTGCTATGAATGGAGACATGAGGAATATAATTGAATTTAGCATCTGAAAATTACCAGTTTATCAGTGGTCAAGATGGTTGTTCACCTCATTGAGCTTTGATAGACGCCTTTATGCTATGTTTTACATTGATTAATAATTAAATTTCATAACTTTCTTAAAAATGCATGGTTCTCATCAAATTGTACACGTTAAATATGTGTATTTTTTTGTATACAGTTGTACCTCAGTAAAGCTGTTAAATATACAAAAAAGTACGCTAAGCAAAAATAGGTAGATGTTTAATGAATTTAATTTTGTTTAGTGGAGAGCTTTCTTACAAAGGTCTGTTTATATTTCAGAGTCTTACAAGGAAACCAGATTAAGTCAATTACAAAGAAAGCATTCATTGGTCTTGAATCCCTTGAGCATCTGTAAGTATTTGTCATACATTTTGCTTACTCTATAAATAATCTTTGCTATTAGCAGAGGTTTTCACGACCATGTAAAGTGTTTATGTAACTTGATATAGAAATGGTGACTGATAATGTTTCATTTCTCTTTATTTCAGAGATTTGAACAATAATGCTATAATGTCTATCCAAGAAAATGCTTTTTCTCAGACTCATTTGAAAGAACTGTAAGTAACTTGTCTTTTTAAGATCACCAGTTGGATCATTGTTCCTGCTTGTTGTGCTTAAAGTGTGATGGGAGTGACCCAAGTTATTTCCAAAAGCACACAGTTCAGGCAGAAAGAAAGTATTAATACTCAGTTATTTTAGTGGCTAGAGGTAATTTTAAAATACCCAACACTGAAAAGCCCAGAGTGTGTGGCATCAAGACCTTCTGTTTTGCCTGTTCTACCAATGCTTATAATTAGGAGACCTTAGCACTGCTCCTTATGCTTTATGTATCACCTACTGTTCCTTTTTGGATTATCAGAAATATGTGTTACCAGTTCTTAACACTTTGTGTGGGTTACAATAAAGGTATCAGGTAATTTTGTTTTATAGTTTCCGAGGTGATTTAACACTTAGGATAATTGTCAGAGAATCTGAGTCTCTAACCTGTTCAAACTACTAAAATGTCAAAATAGACAAGTGTGTATATGTACCCTTTTTCATTCATGAGTTTTAAAAATTGCTCTTACTGGTTTCGAGATTTCCCTAGGGAATTGGAAGTTAGTTGGGCATTGGTATTATTTATATTTATATATTTTATATTTTTTTGGAGACAGAGTCTTGCTCTATCCCCCAGGCTGGAGTGCAGTGGTGTGATCTCGGCCCACTGCAACCTCTGCCTCCTGGGTTCAAGCGATTCTCATGCCTCAGCATCCTGAGTAGCTGGGATTACAGGTGCCTGCCACCACACCCGACTAATGTTTGTATTTTTAATAGAGACAGGGTTTCGCCATGTTGGCCAGCTGGTCTCAAACTCCTGACCTCAGGTGATCTGTCCGCTTCAGCCTCCCAAAGTGCTGGGATTACAGGCGTGAGCCACCAGTCCTGGCCTGGTATTGTTTTTAAACTCTATTGATTCAAATATGCAGTCGGGTAAGAACCACTAGACAATAGAAATTATTTTGCCTTGCCTGGGAAGCTACTCAAAGGATACTCTGTGGAGCAGAACTGGTTGATGACAATATAAGGATAGAAATGCAGCCGGG